CTTAAAAAGGAGGATAGTCCACACTTCTTAGCTGTTTCTGGCTGTCTGGAGATTGACATTACTATATTAGTATTAGAGGGGTAGCCGTGTTAGTCTGGATCTGTAAAAGCAGCAAAGAGTCCTGTGGCGCCTTTATAGCCTAACAGATGTATTGAACTATAACCTTTCGTGGGTGAATAATGAACACAAATCAGATATTAGGAATGGCAATATACAAAAACCTGTAGGAGAACACTTCAACCTCCCTAGACACCCAATAGCAGATTTAAAGGTAGCCATCCTGCAGCAAAAAAAACTTCAGGACCAGACTTCAAAGAGAAACTGCTGAGCTTCAGTTCATTGTCAAATTTGACACCATCAGCTCAGGATTAAACAAAGACTGTGAATGGCTAGCCAACTACAAAAGCAGTTTCTCCTCCCTTGGTGTTCACACCTCAACTGCTAGAAGACGGCTTCATCCTCCCTCATTGAACTAACCTCGTTATCCCTAGCCTGATTCTTGCTTGCATATTTATACCTGCCTCTGGAAATTTCCACTACACGCATCTGACCAAGTGGGTATTCAACCGCAAAAGCTTATGCTCCAATACATCTGTTAGTTACACTTGGTTCACATTGTGGTTTTCTTAATTTTTAAAAGGAAAGCTTAGCTTCTGGGGCACAGCATTAGCAGCCTCCAGATGAAAGACTGGCTTGCCAGGATGCTCCATACTCCTTTTGCTTGCTTTTTTAATATCATTCAACATTTTAACTGGAACAGAACTGTGTACATAAGTGACTTAACCAGCTGTCTCTTGGTTTTATTGCAGGTTTTGGAGAAGGTGGATGTAGAGCAGAAAATGAGCATTCGATTTCTTCACTGATGGATGGGAGACCCATTCCTTACCACTCCTAATTTCTAAGGACTAGAACTCCATTTTCTCCCCACCATCTTTCCATAGTGCATTGCTACTGGTACATGGAAAAACACATCTGCAATCCCTCACCAGCTTGTTCCACAAAGGTGAACATTCCCTGTGTAGCAGGAACAAAGGGAAGTGGCTGCAGTGCAGCTTGGAATGGAGCATTAAAAAGTCCCTATTTCAGATTTTTCCTCTGCATTGCTGTATGACTATAATGATCGCCTTTCCTTCCTATGTATTGCTGCTGCAAACTTATTCTTCTGGAGCTCTACATCTAGGAAGCCAAAAAGGGGGTGATATCCCACAGAAAAGCCATCTGAATTTTTTTTACTGGGAGTAGTGTATAGTGTGAAACAAACTTCAGCTAGTCCTAGGTGTCAGTAGCACTGCCTTTTTCCTTCCCATGCTAGTGCAACAGAGCTGCCTTTTTTGCTCCCCGCTTGGTTTTTTTAAGACCTTTCTTCCCTCTTTCCAGATTTGCCCTTTAAAGCGACCTTAAATTAATCATTTAAGTCATGTAGCTTCTTTCCCAGGACTGTAGGATTGGGAATACTGTGCCAGTTCTGAGCAGTCTCAAATGCTGTGACTGGATTCTGTAGAATTAATCCACAGTGGGGAGAGTAATCTGTCATGATTGCAGGTTGCAACTTCTGTGGAACAAACTGGACTCCACCTAGTGATCCCTCAAACTACCCCAGTACCAGGTGCAGAAGTGGCTGTCTTAAGAGCAGCTTGCAGGCTCTGACTGCCAGTGGACCACAAAGCACCCCTCCCTAGGTTGCTTTTCTGTATGACTGTTCCTTCCCACAGGGCACTCTTACCTCCACCATCACAATTTACTGCTTTCATTAGTGCAGATTTATTTACCGGTGTTTATAATTCAAGAAAACTAGCCATGCACAAAGTTTGATTTCATGTCATTGTCACCATCCAGTGGTAATAGCTCTAGTGACACCTTGTGCTGCTTTCATATTAATCCTTAGATTATTTGAAAACCAATGATTTTTTTTTTTGGGTAACATCTATCTGAGCCCCACCCTGGCTGGTGGATCTGCACTGTGGGTGTTAGTTTAGCTGCACTTGGAACAATTTCATGGCAGTTTAGATACAACTGTTTTTAGGGAATTGCCTAGTATATCCCAGTTCAAATTAAAAGGTGAGATTTTAGAATATAATACTTTGATCAGATACTTTCCACAAATCTTTATGAAACCAACACAACTGAAAGGATAACTTTTTTAAATTAAAAAGTTAACAGCAAGACTATATATTAAATCAAGGATTCAAAAGCAATGCATGTGTTCAGTTGTTAACCTCCAAATTCATTGGCTACACAGCTTCTTGTGCACATGTGGATAAGTCAACAAATGATCTGACAACCAGTACCAGTGGAGTGTCTTGAGTTGACTTGGAGGTCCATCTCTATGGAAGAATCAGTGTTTAAGTGCTTCCACACACCTCCACATCATGTGTTAACGTAAGTTTCTGTAAGTATTGAGCTAAGATTCAATCCTCAAATGGATTTCTTTAGTTCCTTTACTTAATTGTATTAAGGAATCCTTCAGTGGATTCTTCAGACACTCTGTTTTTGAGTTGCAGAAAGATGTTGCACTTCGAAATGTTCAGACTGCAATTCAATAGTAAGGCTGGAGAATTGTAAAAGATTCCTGTTCTGTACAAGAAGGAAACATTCTGGTTTTATGACCATATGTAAAATAGGAATTGTAAAAAGGAAAGGAATGTGACTGTTAACATGGAAAGGTACACAAGATGTTATAGGCTTTGATTTGCTTATTTAAAAGATGTTTCTCTATTTCTTCTGCCTGTGTAATTGTAGTCAACTCTTGTGCCTTATTGTCCCAATGAGTTCTGTATTTATCAATCCATAAATAAGTCTTCACTGTAAAAATTGTGCCTGTGTGGTGTTGACAGACTCTGTTCACTATAGAACAATCTTAAGGCTGTTGTTAGGCTCTACAGTCTGATTCTGCACATTTCAGAAAGCAACCTAAAGTGATCTCCTTTCTTCAAGAAGATTATGAAAAATCCTATAATTAACTGAAGCAGTCATGACTTTGAAACAAGCAGTCATTTACCATCCTACCCACCCTGCAAGGAAGTTCAAACTGGGGAAGAGATTATTCTAAGCCTCAGCTCCATAACAGGGCATCTGTTAAAGGGAAGACTAGCAGTACTTACCCATGAGTCCATAAGTAACTTGAGCCTACTGCTCTATACTCAGCTCTCCAGTGTTCTAAACCAGTTGTTTTCAAACTTTTTTTTTCTGGTGACCCAGTTGAAGAAAATTGTTGATGCCCACAACGCAACGGAGCTGGGGATGAGGGGTGTGGGAGGGGCTCAAGGCTGGGGCAGAGGGTTGGGGTGAGGGCTGTAGGGTGGGGCTAGGAATGAGGGGTTCAGGGTGTCGGGGCTCAGGGCTGGGGCAGGGGTTGGAGTGCAGGAGGGGGTCAGGGCTTGGCTGGGGATGCAGGCTCTGGGATGGGGCTGGGGATGAGGGGTTGGGGTGAAGGAAGGGGCTCCAGGATTGGTGAGGGGGCTCAGGGCAGGGATTGGGGTGCAGGGTTGGGGCATAGGCTTACCTCAAGCAGCTCCTGGTGAGCAGCACAGCAGGGGTGCTACAGCAGGCTTCCTGCCTGTCCTGGCACCATAGACTGTGCCACATCCTGAAAGCAGCTAGCAGCAGGTCGGGCTCCTAGGCAGAGACACACGAGCAGCTCCATGCGCCTCTCACCTGCAGGCACTGCCCCCCCCCGCTCCGTCCGGCTCTCGCCTGCAGGCACCGCCCCCACCCCCAGTCCCTGCTAGCTGGAGTGCAGAGCCAGTGCTCAGGGCAGGGGCAGCGCACACAGCCCTGTGGCGTAAAACACGCCCCACCCCAAGCCGGACCTGCTGCTGGCTGCTTCTGGGGTGCAGGGCAGTGTCAGAACAGGTAGGGACTAGCCTGCCTTAGCCAGGCAGCACCACCTACAGGACTTTTAACCGCCCGGTTGGAGGTGCTGACCAGAGCTGCTGCAACCCAGTGCCTTACATTCCATGACCCAGTACTGGGTCATGACCCACAGTTTGAAAACCACTGTTCTAAACTACCCTTTGTTTCCTGTTACCATCCTGTTAGTCCCTGTGTTAAGTGCACTTCTAGTCTGATTTTAAAAAATACATTAGATATGCTCTGCATACTTAATCATATCTAGTTGTACTGTGACACTTTAGAGTCCACACAGCTTTGGGACAGGGAGCTGAATGCTATACTGACTTATGCATAAGTTTAAAAAAGTCTGCTTCAGGGCCATATTTTGCTGCTAGTTATGCAACTGCATTGATGACAAATGGAGTGTAAAGGTATAATTGATGACTAATTTGAGCCTGTAGAACACCTTAGTGTGGGGCTGATGCATGAGGGAGTGAGGGCAGAAATACGCTTGACTTTTACATACCAGTTGGAGTATGCAGGGCTTGTTGCTGATGGGAGAGGTGTAAGTTTTTTTGTTTTGTTTTTTTACTAGCTATCAAGCTATAATTGAGTAGTGAAGGTAGATCTACAGTGTAACAAAAGGAGCAAGGATCCTTGAGGGGGAAAAGGTATGTGTGCGCTGATTTAACTAGACTAGCATAATGCATTTGCATAACAGGAAAGAACTGAAGTTATAGCTTTAAATTAGGGGAGGGGGGTTGATTTTTGCAATCTACACTTTTTTTATTGTAGTGTTTTGGTGCGTAATAAGTTGCTGTGTGGGAAAGCAGTGTCAAAGATTCAAGATTTGAGTTTCAATCTGAACATGGACTTGTGATGGATCTAAGATCCTACAAAAGAATCCCCTGGTTGTGGGCACACCTCAACAGAAGCCCTGTTGGTAGCATTCATGTGCTTTACCCCACAGACTGCGTTTAATTATAGCTAAGAATTGAAACAGTCAGTGAAGGTAGAGATCTGAGGATGAGTTCATCTATCAATTTAAACACAAGTGTTCAATACTTCTGTCGTTACAAAGAAGCAGGATGCTGCACATAACATGAGGAAGTACTTTCCAGTCCACTAGTAACTGAAACAAGGATGTTTAAACATCCTCTTATCCTTACCAGAAGTTGTCAGTAGGCCTGAATAATTTGCATGCAACGGTCATAAGTGTTGGCAAAGAACTTCAAGGCTTGCTGATTATTTTTAATCTTGGAATAGCAGAGATATTGCAGGAGACTGGAAAAGTGCTACTGTTGTGCTAGTAGTCAAAAGTTTAAACAGATGACCAAAGTAATCAGAGGCAGGTTAGTCTGACATCAATCCTGGGAAAATAATGGGAAAAAATGATTCAATTGATAAAGGACAGCAATATAAGGCTGCTCAACATGATTTTTATGGAAGAGATCTTGTCTACCTTGGTTTCATTCTGTGAGGGGATGATAATTGCATAGATACAATATACTGAGATTCTTAGACCTATGTAGTACCAGATGACACACTGATTAAAAATTAGCACTACACTATCAAACACACATTAAAAGGATTAAGAACTGACTGACAAATCTCAAATAGTTGTCAATGGGGAAACATCAGATGGGTCTGTTTCTAGTGGGGTTATGCAGGATCAGTACTAGGCCTGATACACTAACACTTTCTTCAGTGATTTGGAAGTAAATATAAAATCACTACATTTGCAGATGACAGTGGTAAACAATGTCAAGGACAGGGTTGTCATACCAAGGGATCTGGATTGCTTGGTAATCTAGGCCTATTCAAGTAATGCATTTTAATATTGCCAAATACAAAATTGGATTCCTAGGAACAAGGAATGCAGACCCCATCTACAGAATGGGGGCAAGTGAATATTGAAAAGCAGGGACTAAAAAGGATTTAGGAGTTATAGTAGACAAAGCAACTTAACATAAGACCCCACTGCAATGCTGTGTTGAAAAGATTAAAGTTATTCTTGGATGTATAAATGGAAGTAGTGCGTAGGAAGATTTTATCTCTGTTTATGGCATGGATACTAGAATAGTGTGTACAGTTCTGATGTCTGCATTTTAAAAAGGGATGTTGGAAAAAAGGGTGAGAAGACAAGTGATCCTGAGGGCTAGAGAAAATGCTTTACAGTGAGAGACCAACCCATAATTCTGATGGTCTTACCAAAAAAGATTCAGGGGTGGCAGGGCTTGCTGGTGTAGAAATAGTTTCATGTGGAGAGCCTACTGCCTCCTAAAAATGGTCTTTTAACCTAATATAGAGTATAACAACAACCAATGGCTGGAAATTGAAACCAGACACCTTCCACTCAGAAACTAAGCACAAATGTTAAACAGTGAGGGTGATTAATCATGGGAACAAACTACCAAGGACAATAGTAGGTTCAAAAGAATGGCCATATTGGGTCAGACCAATCATCCATCTAGCCCAGTATCTTGTCTTCTGACAATGCCTGGTGGATGATGTGTCAGAGGCAATCTGGTCCTGGTGACTTATTACTATTTAATCAGTTTGTTCCAAAACCACCTCCACTGATGCCTCAATCTGAGAGATTCCTCAGGTTTGTTACTGACAAAGAATGACTGGTATGCAAATCTCCCTTCGGTCCTCTGCAGTGAAGACCAAAGCAACAATTAATTTTGCTTTCCCGCAATTGCCTTACCTTCCTTGAGTCCTCCCTACCACCTTGATGGGCTAGTCGCCCCCTTGATGTTTATAGAAAAACTAAAAAAAAAATTTGTCTTACTAGTTCAAATTCTTCATACTTTTTCACTGGGCTTGCTCGAGGTTTTTGCTCTTTTCTATTTTCCTCAGTAGCTGCCAGGCCGGCTCCGTGCTGTCTGTCACAGCTGCTAGGGAGGGGCAGGCAGTGTTAGTGGTACTACATGTTCCCTGGCACAACAGGCTCAAATCCCACGCCGGGAGATCAGCTCAGGCCTCCCTGGGCTGGCCCCACGTGCTCTAGGCAGCGTGGGCCTTTCCTAGTAAAACATCCCTGGGTGAGGGGGGGCGCCTTCGGTAACGGCTGGGCCGCCTCCTGCCCTGCCCGCTCCAGGTCAGGGCTCACTCCCTCCGCGCCAGCTGGCTGGAATCGCAGTCACACGAACACACATTCAAACGTAAACGGCCCGTTTACATGTAGGTGAGGGGAGGTCTTATCCCACGGGGTAACCAATACTTTCGCAAAAGGGTGCTCCTCTCCTGGCCAATCAGAGGAGAGAGTTTTGCAGGCGGCCTCCAAGTAACTCCGACGGATGCGTCCACTGACCAATGCTTGTCGAAGGCGGAAGGATGACGATGCGGTGCCCCATAGGTTGGCTCTCGAGTGGGCGGGACTGGAGGCGCCGGGCGCCTGAGCCCCCGACTGGGTGGCCGAGGTGAGCGGGGGAAGATGGCGGAGTGAGAGGAAGAGGCTGAGGGGAGAGGGCCGGCCGCGGCCTGGCGGCCTCGGCCAGAGGCAGGTAAACGGAGCGGGGAACGGCTGCCCGAGGAGCGAGACTGAGCCTGGGTAGCGGCGGGACCTCACCGCTCCCTGATTGGGCTGGGCCCGGGCATCTATGTACCCGCCTCCCCTTCCTGCTCCCTGATTGGGCTGGGCCTGGCCGTATACGAATTCCGGCTGGTACTCGCTCTGGTTAAGTACCGGCCCTCTCCCCCCCCCCCCCTTTAATCCCTAAGCCGGCTGGGCCTGGGCACGTACGTCTTCGATGTCTCCACTCCCCTCCCCTCCCGCGCCGTGTGTGTGTTTGTGTGTATGGTATCCCCCTGATTGGGCTGGGTGCTGCCTCTTCACCATCTCCCCCTGCCCCCCCCCCACACACACACACATGGGCCTGGCAGACGGTGTGTATTAGCGATGCTCCAAAACTGGAGCTGCAGAATTCTAGGGGGAGTGTTTAATTAGATTCCTCGTATCTGAATTTTACACACACACATACACGCTAGTTTACTCCAGTTGATAATACTCCTCCCGAAGCTACCCGTCTGCTGTGGTTTGTATCGTCGTCTGTCTATCTTTGGGCTTATCACTGTTGTATTTAAATACTAATGTAGTTCAAGGGTTCGTAGAAAACCATAGCAGAAATAGTTTGGAGTGCTGGTTTAAAGGGTCCTGAATTCAAGTCTGTCTGAATGAGGAGAGCTCGAATACACCCTGAAAAAGTCTGAATAACTTCAGAGGCACTGGAAGTATGGATAACCCATAGCGATGCATTAGATATAGAGTTGTTAGTACGCTGCAGCAGATGGTTAGAAGAACCGTTTCCTGCATAGTAAATCAGCTGTAATTTATGTTCAGAGAACAGCTGCAACTGTTGATGTGCATGGCAGAAAAATCAAAACACATAATTTGAATTTAGTCTATTCAGCTGGTGAAAAGAGTGCTGAATATTTCAGACTACAAAAATAGAGGCCTGAAAATTACGCTATTAAAAGATTGTATCTTTTATACACGAAGTCTGGATGTTAGTGGAATGCTGTTAAATTGATGACTTGACCTATTTTTTCTACCTTTGTTTTCTGTGAGCATATTGCATTAGGTGAGGGGTGCACACAAGGGAATGGATTTCAGATGCTTAAAAATTCAAAATCAGGATTCACAAGCAATATTACAGGTTTCAGAGTAACAGCCGTGTTAGTCTGTATTTGCAAAAAGAAAAGGAGTACTTTTGGCACCTTAGAGACTAACCAATTTATTTGAGCATAAGCTTTCGTGAGCTACAGCTCACTTCATTGGATGCATACTGTGGAAAATACAGAAGACGTTTTTATACACACAAACTATGAAAAAATGGGGGGTGGGGGAGAAAACCTGGATTTGTGCTGGAAATGGCCCACCTTGATTATCATACACATTGTAAGGAGAGTGATCACTTTACATAAGCTATTACCAGCAGGAGAGTGGGGTGGGGGGAGAGAAAACCTTTTGTAGTGATAATCACCCATTTTTTCATGGTTTGTGCGTATAAAAACGTCTTCTGTATTTTCCACAGTATGCATCCGATGAAGTGAGCTGTAGCTCCCGAAAGCTTATGCTCAAATAAATTGGTTAATCTCTAAGGTGCCACAAGTACTCCTTTTCTTTAAACAATTATTACAGCAATAAAGGAGATTGTATGCACGGTGGAGAGAGGGAAATGTCAACAAGAAAATTGATTTCAGTTTCAAGTTTCCAAATGATTATTGAAGACAGCAAGCAGGAAAGTATTCTATAAACAATGGGAAAATTCACATAATACAATATTATTTAAAAACAGGCTTCCCCTTTTCCAGATTTGTAACTTGTAGCCAAGGTCAGTGTACTTACTAAATTATGCACCTAGGCCTTCTGGATTCTTTGTTGCTCTGATGTAGTAGACTGGTACTAAACTAAAGAACTTTTTTCATAGAATCATAGGGTTAGAAGGGACCACGGGGTCATCTAGTCCAGTGTTTCTCAAACGTGGCCACCAGGGGCTTTTTCTTGCTGCCACAGCCTCCTGGGCAGTGGTGATTGGGGAAGGGTCAAAGCAGTCGCCCTTCCCCCAAGGCCACCAGCAGGGGTTGGGCCCTGTCCCATCCCCCCCTGGAGCCACAATTGCCAAAGGAGCAGGCAACCAGTGAGAGTTCCCGGGAACGTTGGTGCTCAGGCTTTGGGCTTCAGCCTGAGGGTGATGGTCTGCAGGGTGGCCGGCTCCAGGTCCTAGCTGCGGGGTCTAGGCTTTGACCCTGGCTACATGACAGCGGGCACCAGCCCCAGGCTCACCACCACTCCCCATTACCTCTGCCCCCCACCCACGTCCCCATCCAAAGTTTAGTTAGTTCCTTGGCTTGCCAGGGCTAAGAAAACTTTGTTGTGAAATTTGATATTTGTATGTTTGCTAATATCACTTTTCACAGCAGACTTAGTAGCTAGCTGAGAACTGTGAAAGGTGATATTATCAAACATACAAATATCACTTTTCACAGCAGCAGACTAACTAGCTAGCAAGCCTTTTAAAAAAAAAAAAAAAGCAAAAGAAATAACAAAAAAGACAAGAACATGAAAAGCACCTTATTTGAGTTTGTATTCTATTTAGGTCCAGTAAAGAATAGAGACAACTGTACATTTATTTTTATTGTTGAGTCTGCAAAAAAAAAATCTACGTAAATAAATTATGATTTGGATGTGTATATATGCATATTTATTTATTTTTCCTAAAGTTAATTAAGTATTTTAGGAAAAATTGTCAGAGCAGCCACCAGCAAGAGTTGGGGGCCACACTCTTGAGGTCCCCAAAAATATTGTTGTGATAACCCCGATCTAGTCTAACCCCCATCCATGACCGATGGCTATCCAACCTCCAGCAAAGGAGCTTCCACAATTTAATTTGGTAATGCTGTCATGAAATTTTCAGTTTGCTGTAGAATTTTATGTTGAAAATACATAACTACATTGTACTTGTCAGGAGGAAGGTAGAAGTCTTGGTGGGTAGGTAGAGGACATTTGGAGTTTTGGACACCTGTGGAAAACATGGCAGGATGTTTGATATTAGATGCATGTTACTGATAAAATAATTATACTGTAGTTAAGTTTGAGTTAATTATTGTTTTAGGTTGTGTGCATATTCAGGAAGACTGCACTCACATTGATTCTCTCAGTTTGTATTAGGAAGATTTTCTTACCAGAAATCTTTCTTTTCAAATTAAAGCTTAGATTCTGTTCTCTTTGATTCTGCAAGAGGTGGATATGTTGCTGGGATATTCCAGAATAAATATGGTCCTGCTTCTGACTAGAATTAACAGAATAATAAGAAGGCAAGTAACTCCCTTCTCCTTCACATGCATGCACTCACCACTTCCATTCAACCCATAATAGCAGTATGCACATTTAACATGGATTAATGGTGATATTTAGTTGCATTGGCTCCCCAAGAGCTGCAGAAAATAAAACCTAATAATCTTGTTCCCGTGGGCGAGGAGTGGGGGGACCGAGGGCCTGACTGTCCATGTTCTAAACTCCCCTGGCCAGCTGGGGCTAAAACTGCTGCCTGAGTTGCTGTTGAGCAATTTCCACATTCCTTTCCCTGTCTGGAGGATTTGTTTGAGGAACTCAGGAGATTATGTATGTCCAGCTGTCTACCTTCATAGGTCAAGATAGTCTTTGAGAAGGAAAAATAAAAGGCGAGTTCTCTAAAACTTTTTTTCTGAACTTGCTTCTGTTTTATTTTTCCCCATTATTGCATGGAATGGTGTTCTGGCTTCTTTTTAAAACCTCTCTCTAGAATATAATAGCAAGACTGTGAAGGACATTCATTTCTGGACTGATTGTAAGCTCCTGTTGGAGCATTTTGTGGCCAGGCTTCAAGTGCTTGAGATGTCATTAACTTCTTCAGCAAAAATGTGGAATCCTAGTTCAGATAGTGTTTTTTACAGGAACTTCCCCTTACTATGTGATTCCATATCTGTTTCCATTCCCCACTGATGTGAAAATCAAGATACTCCTCCTTACCTAATTGCCAGTAAAAATAAATAAATCCGCCGTTGGAAGTTAGTTGACATTTTTGTTGCTGAAAGGAATCCAATTTATGCTGCCAGAGAACACGGGAAAGAAAGAAGAAGCAAAGAACACAGAAGAAAATACTAGAAGCAATACAAAAAGCAGATCAATCAAGAAGCTGCCATTTTCAGTTGCTCAGTTTTCTGACCAAAACTGCATTTTAAATCAATACTTGTGATAGAAGAGGAGGATCTGAAGGAAAAATTAACTCTGGGGACCATTGCTTATGAAACCATTAGAGTCTTGCAGGTAGTGTAGCTCTCATGTATATTCCCTCAAATCAAAAAACATGGTTAAAAAGCGGTTAAACTCCGATTGGCAATTTCCTGGAAAAAATTTCCTAGCTTAGGACAGGGTGCTGGTAAATACTGTCTTAAACTTGGTTTGAATTAGAAAAATAATTGTACCAGTTTCCAGCAGGTTCAGCAAACACAGAATGAATCTTTTGAAACTGTGGATACATCCATTAAAAATGGAGGAATAGGCTTGATCTGTCCACTACATCAAAGTTAGTCTTCTGCTACAGAATGCTGCCTGACCAAATGGACCTAGACTGGTAGTCTGTAACTTTGCATGCTTTTGATTGCTTAATGCTTCAAGCGTGCAACTCAGCATTATTGTCATTTTCATGTAATCAACTGTTTTTTACTTTTGTTTTATATCGAAAACTGAAATATGTGATAACGTGTATAACTTCCTTGAGAAGATACAAAACCAAATT